GAGTGCCGGCCCCAGGGCATTGGTGAGAAGGGGGTGGGGGGCAGAGATGTCAGGACCTTGGTCAGGGTCTGCCAGTGAGGCAGGACCAGGGCCCAGTGCGCCCCCTGGTACCCAGCCCCGCAGCCCCATCCTCCATTACCTGTGGCCAGTCCTTCTGAGATGCCCAGACACCTCTGGGCCTGGGGCAGAGGACCAAACCCTCCCGCCCTAGGCCCCCAGCTCCACCTTGGAGGGACCCCACTGCCTTCCTCTCTGTGCCTCGCTGAAGGGGTGTGTGGGGGGTTGCTGGATCAGGTTGGGAGAGCAAAAGTCCCTCCCTCAGAGGCCTTGCTGTGCCCCCTAGACTGGACGTGTGGACAAGAACGTGCCCACGGTCTGTGGCCACACAGCCCCCGTGCTGGACATCGCCTGGTGCCCGCACAATGATCACGTCATTGCCAGTGGCTCTGAGGACTGCACAGTCATGGTGAGTGGCGGGGGAGGGGGCACGAGGGCCGGGGGAGCTCCAGCAGTGGGTCTGCCACGGGGAGCCCCCAAGTCTCACTGGCCCCTTCTCTGCAGGTGTGGGAGATCCCTGACGGGGGCCTGATGCTGCCCCTGCGGGAGCCCGTCGTCACCCTGGAGGGCCACACCAAGCGCGTAGGCATTGTGGTGTGGCACCCCACAGCCCAGAACGTGCTGCTCAGTGCAGGTGCCTGGGGGAGGGGTGGAGGGAGAGGGGAGAGGGGTAGGCCGGTCGTCAGACAGCAAGGGAGGGAGGCTCAGGGCTTCTAACACTGGGGCTATCACCCAGGTTGTGACAACGTGATCCTGGTGTGGGACGTGGGCACTGGGGCAGCCGTGTTAACGCTCGGCTCCGACGTGCACCCGGACACAATCTACAGCGTGGACTGGAGCCGAGACGGCGCCCTCATCTGCACCTCCTGCCGTGACAAGCGCGTGCGCATCATTGAGCCCCGCAAAGGCACCATCGTTGCTGTGAGTGGCCCTGAATCATGACCCTTGACCCTAGGAACTTTGCCCTCCCACGCACCATCAGCCAGGTCCCTGGACGCTACCCCTGTTGCCCTCGGCTGAGTCTGGTGCTTAGGATGTGTGTGTGGGTACCTGACTGGCCACCTCCCTTTCGTTCCAGGAGAAGGACCGTCCCCATGAGGGGACCCGGCCTGTGCGTGCAGTCTTTGTATCTGATGGAAAGATCCTGACCACAGGCTTCAGCCGCATGAGTGAGCGGCAGGTGGCGCTGTGGGACACGGTGAGTGCCGGGTGGGGGGAGCCGAGATGGGCTCTTAGTCCCTGCCCTGCCACTTGCCTGATCACAGAGAGCCACAGGCCTCAGTTTACCCTCTGTGGGATGGGGGTCTCCACTGGCTGTTCTGTGAGGGCCCTCCCCGAGTCCCCGCCCAGTAGGCTCTTGCCAGGCCCGACTTGGCCCAGCTCATTTTTCCCTGTCTCCCCAATCCCTGCAGAAGCACTTGGAGGAGCCACTGTCCCTCCAGGAACTGGACACCAGCAGCGGCGTCCTGCTGCCCTTCTTCGACCCCGACACCAACATAGTCTACCTCTGTGGCAAGGTGTCCCAGTTGGGCAGGGGCTCGCGGGTGGGAGGTGGTGGCGGCGGGGGGAGGGCTTGGAGAGGACCCAACTGCAGGACTGTGTGGTGCTGATCCCCGCATGTGCACCCACCACCTGCAGGGTGACAGCTCTATCCGGTACTTCGAGATCACTTCCGAGGCCCCCTTCCTGCACTATCTCTCCATGTTCAGTTCCAAGGAGTCCCAGCGGGGCATGGGCTACATGCCCAAACGTGGCCTGGAGGTGAACAAGTGTGAGATTGCCAGGTGACTGCCCCCTGACCCTGACCCGAGCATGCTCCCTGGGCAGTGCTGACCCCACGCGGACCTTCGGTTCCAGCCCAACCATGCCACGGGTGTTACTCACCTTCTTATTTCCACAGATTCTACAAGCTGCACGAGCGGAGGTGTGAGCCCATTGCCATGACAGTGCCTAGAAAGGTGATGCTCCCATGTCCCTTCCAGGGCCCCGGGCCAGGCACTGGCCTCGCACAGTTGCAGGGTGGTGGTATGGCCCGAGCGCTCTCTTAACCAGCCTTGGCCTTGCCCACAGTCGGACCTGTTCCAGGAGGACCTTTACCCACCCACTGCAGGGCCCGATGCCGCCCTCACGGCCGAGGAGTGGCTGGGGGGCCGGGATGCCGGGCCCCTCCTCATCTCCCTCAAGGACGGCTATGTGCCTCCAAAGAGCCGCGAGCTGAGAGTTAACCGGGGCCTGGACACCGGGCGCAGGAAGACAGCACAGGAGGCCAGCGGGAGCCCCAGCTCGGTGAGAAGTGGATGGGAATCTGGGAGTCAGGACGGGGAGACGCGTAGGGCAGGGGCTGCTACTGAGGTGGTTACTGTCCCACTGGAAGGAGGCTGGCGTTTGGGCCATCCTACACTCATGTCGGGGATCCTCTGCAGGGGGAGCAACCCTGTGGGGGCCAAGAGCGAGTAATCCTGAGGGCTCAGAAAGCACGTTTCGGGTTTCTTGGCCTGCAGCTGTCTGGGCAGCAGCTGAGAGACAGTCCCTCACTCTGGGACCCTCCCCAGACCAAGAGACCAGCCCCGGAGCTCTTGGCAGGGGCGGGGCGGGGCGGGGGGGGGGGATGCCTGGGTGAGGGGAGCCCGGGATGGAGCTGGGACTAACGCAGCACTGGACCCCCCAGGACGCCGTATCCCGGCTGGAGGAGGAGATGAGGAAGCTCCAGGCCACGGTGCAGGAGCTCCAACAGCGCCTGGAGAGGCTGGAGGAGACGGTCCAGGCCAAGTAGGGACCTTCGGGCCTCAGCAGGGGCCACAGCCTCACCTCCCTCCCGCCATTCGCACCCTTCTCCTCAGGCCACGATGGCAGATACAAAATAATAATAAAATGGCTTTATTTTCTGGTACCTCTGACTCCGATGGCCACCTGGGTGCTGGGTCTGTTGAACTGACCCGCCCTCGAGCTGCCCCCTCGGTTGCCTTGATGAGATTGGCCCACAGCAGGAGTGGGGGGGGGACACCTCTGAGCACCCCAGGACACAAGAACAGGCTGCGGTGGGTGGGAGCCGCCCCATGCCCGTGTGGGTTGAGCTGGCAGGGTCTGAGCTATGCAAGGCCCTTGCCTGGGGCCTCAAAAATTCCCACGATGACTCAGAATTTGCCTTTCCTGGTCAACCACAGGTCGCTGCATGCGACTATACTGTCACTTGTCACTCGTGGGGAGACAGAACTCAACGTAACACTTAGACGGCCCTTACAGGACACGTTTCAAATTGCAAGCCCAAGGGAGCAAAAATCAGGGGCTCTTTTGTGAGGCCAAAGCTTAGAACCGAACCCTGGTTTACAGGTGAGGACACAGAGGCACAGAGCAGGAGAGGGGCCCGTGGGAGGCAGACCTTGAGTCATGAGCCGTTCCCCCTTCTGGTTCCCAGTCCTCCTGCCGTGTTGCTGCCTCTCAGTCCCTCACTCTGGGACCCTCCCCAGATAGAAGAGACCAGTCAGGCCCTGTCAAGTGGGGGCTTAGACGTGGGTGTCTGATGCCCAACTCTGTGGGGCTGGGGCAGGGTTGGCGGGATGGGTGTCCTGGCCACAGCAGAGCTCACCTCATACCACACAGGGACCACAGCAAGGACTAAGTGCCTCATTCACCACCAACCCTGGCTCCCGCACACGGGGAAAAAACATCTGCTTAGAGAGGCAGCTGCATGGACATCCCTGTCGGCCCATCTGAGTCTCAATCTCTATGCAAGCCATGTGACCCTGGGCCAGTCACTTCTCTCCAGGCCTCAGGTGCTCTATAAAATGGGGAGGGATAACATGGCAGCTCTGTGAACGCAGTGGGTGGATCCAATCAGGGCTGTGATAGAGAAGCAGAAAATCTGGAAGGTGGGCCTCTTAAAGCGACACCTTCCCTGAGCCTCTCCTGCACAGCGGTGGTGACGTGGCCTCCTAGTGAAGTCGTACTTGAGTACACTCAGTCACTGGCTCTTCCCCTGGCCCAAGGGAACTGAGGAAAGTTCAGGAAAGGATCCTAGGAACCCAGAAGGGTTAATCTGTCATCACCAGGACTTCCAGGTTCACTAGCCCATTCTCCCTCTGATAGGAACAAGAGGGAGGTAGGAAGTGGGATGGCTATTTAGGGGCCGAGAAACTGGCCCTGAAAAGGGGAGCAGAGTGGTGGGATGGTTGAAGACTGCAATCCTTCACCCCCAAAGAGCCCTGGCCCCATCTGGGTCACCTGCTACCCTCCTGGGTCCCAGGGACTGCATCTGTGCCAGGCCTTACCAATCCTGGCACCTGTGTTTAAGATTGATACTACAGGTATCATGTGCCCCAATTTTATGGCCCAGGTGGCCTTATTTTCCTGCTTTAACCCTACCCCTGTCTCCTGCCCACAGCTCCATTCCTGACCCTCATGGTCTCCCCAGGGGCAACTGTGGCCACATGAAGCCCTGGGCTAAAGGGTCACTGGATTTTCTCCAGTGAACCGGACAACAGCATTCCAGGTGTCGCGGCATCCCTGCTGGGGTACCACCTCCCCTGAGACCCCAAGGGGCTGGGTAACCTGCAGGGAAGTGTTGGATCCTCTACTATGCCTCTGACATTAGGGTGATGTTGGGGAGTGGGGGAAGTTTGTTAAATTGGCCAGCACCCTGAAACCCTGGGTACTTTTCCATCTGTGCATCTTGAAAACTGGCAGAAGGCAGGACCCCCTGGTAACGGCCAATGAATAGCAGCGGTGTTCCTAGGGTTCGACCAAGAATTACAGAGAAGATCGGTGCTGCCTGCCCTGAAAGAGACTTTAAAGATAGAACTTTCATTTTATAAGTGGAGACACAGAGGCCTGTGTGTGAAGGACTTGTCCAAGGTAAGACAATGGAGAGTGGTAGGGCAGGGAGAAACCAGGCTCTGGACTCAAGCTCAGCATCCCTCCCACACACAACACACTGACACAGAAGCTGGCCCTGATTCATAATTTAATGGCTGTGCAGGCCTTGGTCTCTTATTTCTGCTGCTCACGGGCCCACTGCTCTGGGGTCAGGGTTTTCTGCTCAAAGGCATGAATGTGCAGAAGCTCTTCCGCTAGGCACGTGTTCACCAGCCTGGGGGAGAGATGGGGTTAGGAAATGGAAGGCTGGGGCCTGAGTCGCGGCCTCAGAAGGTAGGGTGACCCAGGAGACTCCCCAGGTTGTGCCCCCGGGACTTGGGAACCAAAGAGGCAGAGGACCTAAGTCTCAATACAGGGGCCACGAAGGCGGGATCCTTGGGGCCGCGGTTCACGGTGTAGGGCCCTACCGGCGGGGATGAGGGAGTTAGGTTTCGGGGAGTGGCCAGGGTTGGGGTCCCATCGCTGGGATCGCGCTGAGCGAGGTATTCCCGAGGCCTCACCGGTGTCTCTGAAGCAGTGGCTTCCCCTCGAACTTGGCCGACACCACCAGGACTCGGAAGCTGGACGCGCAACGGTTGGGAGTGGTGTCCTCGACTTCCTACGGGGCAGAACGGTGGGGAGAGGGTGAAATCCGCCCCTCAGGCGCGCTTTTCCCCTCGCTGGAAGAATCCAGGCCGCTCAACGCACCACATGCTCTGCCTCCAGGTCCCGCTGCAGCTTCTCCCGGAGGTACTCGGCGCTGAGTTCCATTGCGGCAGCCCAGAAGGGGCGGCAGCCCAGCCGGGATGGAACCCCAGCGCCGACCCCAGCCACACTGCTTCCGCCCTTACTGACGCCACTTCCGCTGAGGCCTCTACTTCCGCCCTAAGGCGTCCGTAAACCCGGCACTTCCGCCCTCACGCAAGCCCAGCTTTCCAACTGTCCTGGGTTTCCGCGCTTACCATCCGCCAGCCAATCAGAATCTGCACAAGGACGGATTCGGGCGCTAATAGGTGTCCGCCGCCTGCATCGCAGCCTGGGTTCTCTGGGCCGATTTGGACACCCTACTTCAGCCAGGAGAGGGTGCGCGAACCTGCATTTGCTGCGGCCTCTAGGGTACCTCGGGATCGCCCCCAAACGCTTTTTCCGAGACAAGCATCTTGCGGCCCTGGCAATTCAGCCCTCCCTGAGGTCACAGGTCGCAGCAATCAACCCACAAGTCCCGATGGGCCCTGCGGGGGACGCGGCGAGGCCCGGGCGCTTCTTCGGCGTCTACCTGCTCTACTGCCTGAACCCTCGGCACCGGGGTCGCGTCTACGTGGGGTTCACCGTCGACCCTGCTCGTCGGGTCCAGCAGCACAACGGGGGCCGTAAAAAAGGCGGGGCCTGGCGGACCAGCGGACGCGGGCCCTGGTAAGAGGGAGCGGATTTCTGTGTGGAGGAGGGCTTCAAGGAGGAGGCGGGGCTCGGAGGAGGAGAGGCCTGCCGAGAGGGGCAGGGCCAGGCCAGGCCAGTGGGCGGAGCCCGTGTGGTGGCCGATAACAGGGCCGGGGGGCGGGGTCCTGGCGACGAGGGCGGGCCTATCACAGGGGAGGTGCGTGGTTGGGGGGAAGGCGCGGGGTGGGGGAGGGAAGGCGGAGCCCTGTGAAATTCAGCTGTAGGTTGAAGGAAGGGGTTGGGTAGGAAGGGGACTAATGATCTAGGCTTGGTCCGGTGACAGCGGGCTGATGAACAAGGCGGGGTTTGGTAAAGAGAGAGCCTGCAAGGGAGAGGAACTGAGGAGGGCAGTTAAGTACTTGTGCTGAAGGCGGGGCCTGAGGTTCGCAGGTGCGAAGGGACGTACCTCCACGAGGGGGGCGGAGCCTCGCGGACGTGGTTTGAAGCCGGGCGTGAGAACTCCACTCCCGGGTAGGACTGGGGGCGAACCATGGCGACGGAATTCGGCTTGACACCGGTTGGGGTGGGCTCTCACGGGCCGCGTCCTCATTCTCGGCCCCAGGGAGATGGTGCTTATCGTGCACGGCTTCCCTTCCGCCGTGGCCGCCCTTCGGGTAAGAAAGGAGACGGGGGCGGTGGGAGGACGGGCTGGGGCTTGGGGCCTAACCCGGGCGGCCCTGAAGCCCCTACTCCCCGCCCGCAGTTCGAGTGGGCCTGGCAGCACCCGCACGCCTCGCGCCGCCTGGCGCACGTGGGCCCGCGCCTGCGCAGCGAGGCCGCCTTCGCTTTCCACCTGCGCGTGCTGGCGCACATGCTGCGCGCGCCGCCCTGGGCGCGCCTCCCGCTCACCGTGCGCTGGCTGCGCGCCGACTTCCGACGTGAGCTGTGCCCGCCGCCGCCGCCGCACATGCCGCTGGCCTTCGGGCCTCCGCCGCCCCGCGCCTCGGCCACGAGGCGCCGAGCCGGCCCCTTAGCTGACCCGGAGTCTGAGCCCGACCAAGACGCCGAGGCCTGCTGCGCCCTGTGCGCGCGCTCCTTCCAGGTGAGCCACCCTACCTCGTCTCCAGGTCGCTGCGAACGACCTGGGATCCAGCTGTTTATTGAAGGATGGGGCGGCCCACTGACACCCTTTGCCGTCATCACTAAAATGGGGATGATAGTACTGGCTGCCATTCCTCGAAACCGGTACCCTCCTGCTCAGGGCCTTTACCCTTTCCCTTTGACTGGAAGGTTCCTCCCTAGACCTTCACTTCAGTCTTTATAAAATGCCACCTTCTCCTTCTCCATGAGGTCTTCCTTGGCTCTCCCATCTAAGACTGCAGTTCTAGGGGCGCCTGGGTGGCTCAGTCGTTAAGCGTCTGCCTTCGGCTCAGGTCATGATCCCAGGCTCCTGGGATCGAGCCCCGCATCGGGCTCCCTGCTCAGCGGGAAGCCAGCTTCTCCCTCTCCTACTTCCCCCTGCTGTGTTCCCTCTCTCGCTGTCTCTCTCTGTGTCAAATAAATAAATAAAATCGTTAAAAAAATAAAATAAAACTGCAGTTCTTTCTTGCACACGCCCCTGCCTTTTTTTCCCCCTTAAAGCCTAAACACTTATTGTCTAACATAGTAGGTGTTTTATCTTATTGTCAGTTTCTCCCCTGCCCCAATACAAGGCAGTTCTTGTTCACTGCTGTAGAAAAGGGTCTGGCAAACAGCAGGTAGCCAATAAATATTTAACAAATTAGCTGAGCCTGATGGGCCTCACTTCTGAGCTCTCAGGAAATGTAAATTGAGTACTTGCCATTCAGAGATTAAGTGACCTGCCTGAGATCACTTAGCCTGTAAGAACTATAAGTCTGGCTGCAGTGGCCAATGCTGTTTATATAATCACTGCTAATGCTCAGGGAAAATTGGCTAGCTTAGTCCCTGTGGGCAAGTATTGTAACCTCGCCATGCCTCAGTTTCATCTATAAAACGCAAATAATAGTATATACATATGTTGTATATATGTATATGTATGTATATATAGTATATACATAGCGTTGTTTAATGTGAAGCCTCTGGAACAGTGTCTGATCCATAGAAATTCTGAGTGTTAGCTACATCATTCCTCCTGGTTTTGTCTCTTACCTGCCTGCCACTTCTGACAGGATGAAGAGGGCCCCCTGTGCTGCCCCCACCCTGGCTGCCACCTAAGAGCCCACATGATCTGCCTAGCGGAGGAGTTCCTGCAAGAGGAGCCAGGGCAGCTTCTGCCCCTAGAGGGCCAGTGCCCGGGGTGAGTCCAACACCCCCACCCCAGCATGGTTGAGCTCTGGGAAGATGGTGCCGGTTGTCCAAGTCCAGGCCCCGGGGCAGCTGAGTCCTTATCTTGGCACCCAGGGCCTAGCCTGCAGGAGGCTTGTGATCCTGACTCTGTCTCCTACCAACTGCACCCCTTGGTAGCTGTAAGAACTCACTGCTGTGGGGAGACCTGATCTGGCTGTGCCGGATGGGCGCCGAGGAGGAAGAGGAGGACTTGGAATTAGAAGAGGTGAGACGTGGCTTCGGCCCCAGCCTCCCTACCCCACCCCATACCTGAGGCTGCCTTTGACCAGTCCTCTTGTCTCCACAGGAACACTGGACAGACATGCTGGAGACCTGATCCTCAGCGCCCCCAACCCTCTGCCTCCCCTGTGGGTCTGGGCACTTTTTACTTGAGTACAATAAAGAGTCTGAGTTAAGGGAACTTTCTGGTGTTTGCTGGGGGGGGCGGGCAGCACTGGAGCTAGGAGACAGAGGCCCTGCCAGTCACTGGGGCCTGAGGAGAAGAGCAGAGTGGGGAGGGACCACTCATTCGCCTGGACCAGGCTCTCTTCCTGGAGGCCCATGTGCCTCAGTTTTCCCCTGCATGCTACTGACGTCACACAGTTCTTTGAGTGCTTGGGAGACTCACACCCTTGACTCAGAGCCTATCCAAATCCAGTGCCCAGCTTGACTTTGGACTTTACTCCAAACAGGACAGAGGCCAAAAGTGGGGTGGGTAGGGGTATACGCTACCCCATGGGGCCCTGTGGCTCTCTAAGCCCCAACTTCTTCTTGTCTCTGGAAGCCCCTTTAAACCCAGTGAAAGTGGGGCGCCTGGGTCGCTCAGTTGTTAAGCGTCTGCCTCTGGCTCAGGTCATGATCCCAGGGTCCTGGGATCGAGCCCCGCATCGGGCTCCCTGCTTGGTGGGAAGCCTGCTTCTCCCTTTCCCACTCCCCCTGCTTGTGTTCCTGCTCTCTCTCTCTCTGCCAAATAAATAAATAAAATCTTAAAAAAAAAAAAATAAAGGGGCGCCTGGGTGGCTCAGTTGGTTAAGCCACTGCCTTCGGCTCAGGGCATGATCCTGGAGTCCCGGGATCGAGTCCCGTATCGGGCTCCCTGCTCAGCAGGGAGTCTGCTTTGCCCTCTGACCCTCTCCCCTCTCATGTGATCTCTCTCTCTCAAATAAATAAATACAATCTTTATTTTAAAAAAATAAATAAAATAAACCCAGTGAAAGAAAAGCACCTTGTGGGGGCCATGGTTCTGTCACCAACCATGATTGAGTCTCCATGAAATCCTCAGGAGCTGGACTCACTCCCACGGTTATATGAGACTGTGTTCTTGCTCTTTTGTCTCCCTGCTGCCTCAGAAAGCCTGCCCCGCCTCTGCTCCGCCCCAATCCCAATCAACCAGCACCCCTCCCCCCATTGCTCTGTACTGGCCTTGTCAGAGGTCAGACTAGCAGTTCTGGAATGCCAGCGCTCCTAGAACATCAGTGGGGGCCACTCCCAGCCTGAACCTCTGGCATCTTCAAGACTGGCCTGGAGCCACAGGAAGGTGAATGGCCCTGCTCACGAGAGTGCCACCTTTCCTCCCCACCCTAAACTGGCTGGCTCCATCAGAACAAGCTGTCAGGGGTGCCCGGGTGGCTCAGTCAGTTAAGCATCTGCCTTCGGCTCAGGTCATGATCCCGGGGTCCTGGGATGGAGCCCCGCATCGGGCTCCCTGCTCAGCAGAGAGCCTGCTTCTCCTCTCCCTCTGCTGCTCCCCCTGCTTGTTCTCTCTGTGTGTCAAGTAAATAAATAAAATTAAAAAAAAAAAAAAAAAGCTGTCAGTTGGCCTGCCCTGCGGGGGTGAAGTTCAGAGGGCAGGTCAGGAGCAAAGATTACAGCTCCAAAACCCCCCAAAATAAAAGTGAAAACTTACTAGGCTCTTTTGTCTAGTTTCAGGCTTCCCTTTATTTTCTACACACCAAACCCACATCTTGGGTTTTCAGGCCAGTCTAAGCTTGGCTCCTGCGGGGGTGCTAAGGAGGGGAGCACAGGAGGGTCCTCCCACTCTAAACTCCACCCTTTCCTTCCTGGAGGCTGGCTCCAGATCCCTCCCACTTTGGATTTAACAACCCTTCCCCTCAAGAGCAGTTCTGCACTCACCACACGGCACCCAGTAAGCCACAGCACCAAGTAGTCACAAGACCAAGATCCAGAGAGGTCTGGTGAGTGCCCGGGTGGGGTGGGCTGGGCAGGGCTAGCCCCTCTCTCTCTCTGCTGCTGCCACAGTGGCATCCTTGCCCTTTCCCCCTTGATGGTCCATTTCAGTCAGCCAACCACAACCCCGGCTGAAACCCCCTTCCCTCTTCCATTGACCCACCACTTTTGCTCATCCGCATACCAGACTCTGGCCCCCCAAACAAGCTCAGGTTGTTCAGCTGGCCATGTTTATCCCCGAGCCGAGACAGAGTGCGGTTTGGCAGGTGGGGCCGACCTTTGAAATGTTTCCATGTGTGAGGGGCCCACGTTGCTCAGAGGGACGGCCTGGAGAGCAGGCCGGTGCAGTAGGCCAGGGGCTGCCAGAAGTAGTGGGAGAAGGAGAACCGGCAGGCGCCGCTGGAGTAGTAGTGCTCAAGGGCACACTGGAGTCTCCCGGAGCTTCCAGAAAAACCGGGATTGGGCCCCAGAGAGTGATTTAATTGGGTTGGGGTGTGGCTCAGGCACAGAGATTTTTACAAGCCCTGCAGGTAAAGCAAAGGTGCAGCCGGCGCCGTGACCCACTGCATGAGCGTTCCGTCTGGGTTTGAACCCCAGCTCCTACCACCCACTAGCTTTGTGAGCAGGGGCAAGTCAGCCGCAGTCCCTAGTCAGCTGCAGTCCCTCATCGTAAAGCAAGATTTCAACAGATGGCATGTTGTGATGTTAAGGCAAGTTGGCCGCACTCTGGCCCTTGACGCCGCAGCATGGAGCTCATCCAGGACACCTCGCGCCCGCCCCTGAAGTATGTGAAGGGGATCCCTCTCATCAAGTACTTTGCAGAGGCACTGGGGTCACTGCAGGACTTCCAAGCCCAGCCTGATGACCTGCTTATCAGTACCTACCCCAAATCTGGTAGGTGATGAGGGCCATCCGCCCCTCTCCTGGGCCACAGTCCCCTATGTTGGACCAGCATGGGGCTGCCCTCAGCCCTGCTCACTGACCCTTTCCCTGCTCTCCAGGCACCACCTGGGTGAGTGAGATCCTGGACATGATCTACCAAGGCGGTGATGTACAGAAGTGTCAAAGGGCCCCCATCTTCATGCGGGTACCCTTCCTTGAGTTCAAGGTTCCAGGGATTCCCACAGGTGTGTAGTGGGGCTCTGGGGACCAGTGGAGCAGAGGGAGGGGGCAGGACTGGGCTCCAGCTCAGCAGACTTTCCCTACCCATGGCATAGGTTTGGAGGTTCTGAAAGACATACCAGCTCCACGACTTATCAAGACACACCTGCCCTTGGCTCTGCTCCCCCAGACCTTGCTGGATCAGAAGGTCAAGGTGAATGGCAGAGGAAGCCAGGGAAGGAGGCTGCTCGGGGCCATCCCAGCTTTGGCCCTATCTGCTGGGAAGGTCTCATCTTAGGGGAGGAGGCGGTCGGCTTCATCCTGTTGTGGGGGTCAGTGAACAGGAGACTCCTCTGGGGAGAGCTGAGAAGGGCAGTCTTCTCTGCAGGCCTCCCCAGGCCCGCAGAGGAGGGGGCTGGTGAGAATCTGGCACACCTTGTTCCCGATCTGGGGATGGCACCACTGAGGGGGATTAGATGATCATAAAGTATGGTTCCAGGGACCACAAGCAAGTCAGCCGCTAAGCTTTATTACTCCCTTGGCCAGACCAAGAGCTAACTTCCCTCACAGGGATGCTGTGAAGGGTGGAACCACCTGGCTCGCTGTGTGGTGATGATGCTTGGGTGTGTGGGGGGGGGTCATCTGTCCCTCCAGGTGGTCTACGTGGCCCGCAACGCAAAGGATGTGGCTGTCTCCTATTACCACTTCTACCGCATGGCCAAGGTGCACCCAGACCCTGACACCTGGGACAACTTCCTGGAGAAGTTCATGGCTGGGGAAGGTGGGGCCTGAATCTGGAGGAAGGAGCGGGGCGGAGCTGAGCGGCAGCCCGCCCAAACTAATACCAGCCCGTGTGTCCATGTCTCTGCCCCTCTGCCCAGTGTCCTATGGGTCCTGGTATCAGCACGTGCGGGAGTGGTGGGAGCTGAGCCACACCCACCCCATGCTCTATCTCTTCTACGAGGACATGAAAGAGGTGAGGCCGCCTGCTGCTGCTTCCCTCCAAGTCACCCGTGGAGAAGCAGGAACCTGCCAGGGACCTGCCAAGGCCCTCTTGGCCGCCTGCCCTCCGGCAGCCCCACACCAGTCCCCCGGGCCCCCCAGCCTGCCTTCCTGCCCGGGGCTTGGAGCCGCAGCGTCTCCCAGGCAGCAAAGCCATATAGCTCTGATCTCAGACCCGACACAGAGCCATCCGCCAGCATTCTCTGCTGTTGCTCTCCCTGCGGCCACAGTTATGAAAGAGGAGCGGCCACGCGCTCACCCATCAGGACCCAAACAAGAGCTTATTTCACGGTCACAGGGCAGGGGCAACTAATGTGCCCCAGGGAAAGAGGACCCAAGTCAGGGAGGTAGGGCTGAGAGGTCTCTAGGCAGAAGTGGCCAGATCCCTGAGGAGTTAGGGGGGCCCTCCCTTTGGTTTGCTCAGTGAGCAATCCGAACGTCCACTAAAGAGACCCTCTGCTGCTCCAGAATCCCAAAAGGGAGATTCAGAAGATCCTGAAGTTTGTGGGGCGTTCCCTGCCAGATGAGACCGTGGATCTCATCGTCCAGCACACGTCTTTCAAGGAGATGAAGAACAACTCCAAGACTAACTACAGCACCATACCCCTTCACGTCATGGACCACAGCATTTCGGCCTTCATGAGGAAAGGTGAGTGCCCGTGCAGGATGGGCATCTGGGGAGGCAAGCGTGGGCGCAGAGGCAAGGGCTGGCCTGAGCCACCCTGGGCCTGCTCTGTGGCCGGGGCCTGCAGCCGTCCTCCCCTCTGTCCACAGGCATCTCGGGGGACTGGAAGACCACCTTTACTGTGGCCCAGAACGAGTGCTTTGATGCCGACTATGCCAAGAAGATGGAGGGCTGCGGCCTCAGCTTCCGCACCCAGCTGTGAGTGGTGCTCCCTGGGAGGCACGCCGAAGACCCCACTGCGGTGACCTGCCCCCAGCCTCAAAAATAAAATTCCATGTGTATTACACCGAGAGTCTTTGATACAGGCAAAGAGCAAACCTGAGCTAAAAGGAAATGCCCACTGGGACCAAATGAAGCCATCTCCCCTGCGGCCTCCAATTCCCCAACTTGCCCTGTTATGGGGAAGGGGAGAAGGGTCTGGAAAAATAAAACCAAGGAGATGCAGGCAAAGGGGAACAATATTTATTTGCCACAAAACCTTTTGTTGCATTCCCCTGTGAAGGTGGAAGGAGACTGTGAGTCTGCCAGCCCACTTCACTTTTTCTTGGGCTCCTTACAAGCCACCACGTACCTCTGGGCCACATTGAGGGGAGGGGAGTAACCATCTGCATAGGAGGTGTCTTCAAACAGGACTGAATAGTCATCCTGGGGCTGGGACAGGGGAAGACAGGAGGGGCTGGTCAGAGACCCCCAGCAGGGCCCCAGCCCAGACTGATGGGAACCTCTGGTCCACGGGCTCCCAGCCTCTCCTGTCCCCATCTTCACTCTGGACCTAGTCCCTGCTACGGCAGAGCCCTTTTCTCAGCAACGAAGGGCCAGGGCACAAAGAGCAGGGAGGAGAGAGACCTGCTGTCTATGTGGGGGGATTCTACATGGAGGATCTGGTACCTTTTGGGGACCCTGTGTTAAGGGGATCAAGGAAAACGCAGAGGGCAGCAGGCAGGGCTCCTGGAGGAAGAGGGGAGAACAGCCTTGAAGCTGCCATCGGGTAATGGGTCACCAGCATGAGGGAACACAGCCCCACACGAAGGAAGGGCAGTGGTGCGACAGTCAAGGTTGGAGGACAGGCCCCGGGTGTGGTGCTGCACGTCTCAGGGCAAAAGTGAGGTGAGACCAGAGGGTACATCGGTCCCATTCCACGCGGGGCTGGCTAGAACTCTGAAGGTTGGAGAGGGGGTTGGCTGGCACTGCCCAAGGGGACAGGGCTGGAGAGCACCTACAGGGCAGAGTGTAAGCAGGAGAGAGAGGGCAACACGTAGGACTCTCCCAGCTCAGAGAGGCTAGACGATGAGGACAGGAGGGGAAGGAAGGGGAAGGTGACCCCATGACCCATCCGCTCAGCCCAGTGCCGGCGTCATGGTCTGCCTCTCCCGTGGGGGCTGCCTTACCCGTTGCGGGGGCGTGTGGATCAGGGCACGGTAGAAGCAGGTGGTCTGGGGATACAGGGCCAGCACGAGCTGCTCCTTCTGAAATAAGGCTTCAGGATCCGTCTCCGGGTTGGCTTTCCACTGGGGAAGTGGGATGATGCGCCGCCGGCTCAAGGTATGTCTCCTGGAAGGGGGGGCTCAGGTCAACCCACGCCAGGTGGGGGGCTCCTTTCCAGCCACTTGCACGGTCCCTCCCTGACCAGCACACTCACTCTTTGCCTTCTTCATCAATGTCATCTACCTCGTACCTGGCAAACAAAGAGAAAACGGTGGATGCAGGGAGGTGCACGGTCCAAATCAGGAGGCGACGAGGAGGGGCGGGGTGGGGTGTGGGGACAGGAAGCAGCCCAGGGAGCCCGAGTCACACACCGTCCCCGTCTCCACAGGCACCCTGGGGAGGCTCTTCTCCCAGCCTGCAGACGGGGAGAGGGGTGGCCGGCACAGGTGTAGCGGGAGAGCGGGCCGAGGGCTGGGTGTCCACTCACTTGTTGGTGGCATGGCTATAACTGACCACCTCGGCCAGGATCCACTGCTCATCCCCATCCACAGCCTTTACCCGGGCAGCCACCTTGTCTCCAGGTTTGGCCACGTAGTCCCCAGAGGCTGGAATGGCCCCGCAGAGGGGTGGGGGCCTGAGGGTTGGAATAAGGTGTTAGTCCCAGCCCTTCCCTCTTGACAGCTCCCCCCGCCCCGGGCCTGCCCTCACTTGTCACCAGGCTTCCCGATCCACAGGGGCAGGGTCATGGCGGACTGCTGCAGCAGGGTCATCAGCACCCCCCTGCGCATGGTCTTCCGAGGGGGCTCCGAGTCATTGTACAGGCCCGCAATCTTGGCCGCTGTGGGAAGGAAGCGCGCCCCTGAGGCACCAGGGACAGGGCACTGGTGCACGGAGCGGTCAGTGGAGCTTGGCCTGGAACCCACCTCCCGAACGACCACCAAGGGCCCAGTGTGACCCCTGCCCTCCCACCAGATGCCCGCGGTGAGAGTTCCGGGCTGCTCCCACAGAGGGCACCGAGGGCAAAAGAAGGGTTCTGAGGTGCTGGTCATATCCGTTTGTTTGGTTAGCCAAAATTTCAGCTGTCTGTAGGCTTATGGGTACTTTTCTACTAGGAGGATATGCTGTCATTCAACAAAAAAAAAACTGAAAGAACTGTCAAGCGCGGACAGACTCCTGACCTCCTCAGGCATGGCTCAACACACCCAGTCAACATCGTGCAAACCCAACTGGCGGTGGGACATGTCTGATGGGCAAGCTGTCTGCCCACTAAGGGTTCACTGAAGGGGTAAGAGATGGGAGAGCCACGGCAGTCTGAAGGGATTCGGAAGCCAACACCTTGTGTAAACTCCATCTGAAGGATGGCTCTCCCAAAGCAGCTGGTGCTTCCCACGGCAAGAGGTGGGGGTGGGAGGTAGCAGGAAGGGGGCAACTGCCCCAGGCGCAAGGGGGAGAGAAGCATGAGGGGGTGGGGTGAGATCTTCCAGGTCTGCACAGGGACACTGGGAGCCCCTGCCTCTGAGCACTGGCCAGGACCTCCATTCCCTCCCAGACCCAGGCTGCCCAGGTGTGCGCCCCCGTCAGAAGCCCATGGAACGAGCACACCGGGCTGTGGCAACAGGCCCCCCACCCCTGCAGGGAGCCACAAATGCTGGTCTCAGGAAGCCTCACTCGACCTGGTCAAGAAGCGCCAAGCTTGTCTCCAACTCACCAATCCGCCTTTCTTCCAACAGAGACTTGATTTCCGCTATCTTATCTAGAGCTTTCCGGAGTATGCTGAGGGTGGGGAGAAGGGAGAAGAGGTCTGGATGAAGCCCAAAGCACAGACTTCCTTTTCTGCTACAGCAGGCTGGGTAACTCAGACCAGCCCTACTGCCGAAAACTGTAAGCCCTTTTTTTTTTTTTTCTTTTCTTTCTTCTATCTATCTATCTATCTATCTATCTATCTATCTATCTATCTATCTACCTACCTACCTATCTAGGATATTTATTTAGGATATTTATTTATGACTTTATTTTTAAGTAATCTCTACACCCAACGTGGGACTCGAACCCACAACCCCAAGATCAAGCGTTGCATGCTCTACCAACTGAGCCCGCCAGGCGCTCCTGTGTTTACATTTTATTTTTTTAAAGATTTTATTTATTTATTGACAGAGAGAGACACCGCGAGAGAGGGAACACAAGCAGGGGAGAGGGAGAAGCAGGCTTCCCACGGAGCAGGGAGCCCGATGTGGGGCTCGATCCCAGGACCCTGGGACTGTGACCTGACCTGAAAGCAGACGCTTAATGACTGAGACACCCAGGCGCCCCTGTGTTTACATGTTAAAAAGCATAAAAGAACTGACAAGGTAGTGGGAGGTAGCACGCCCAAGAATCCAAGAGGATCCCAGAGCGGTACCCATAACAGAGCCGGCTGCATTTGACAGAAACCCTGAAGCAGTGCTGGCCGCCTCGAACAGCCTGGAGATTTGGAGGATAGAAGTGAAAGCTCGGGGTCTGTCCAAGCTGGGACAAGTCAAAGGGGACACTCCAGAGCACTGTGGGGAGTTCACTGGGCTCGGAGTGGGGCGGAAGGGTGGAAGGGTTTTGTCTCTGAAAGGCTGCAGCCCCAGGAAACCTCTGGAGTCAGTTTATAGGGTTCCAAGGTGGCTGGGGCCCAAGCAATCCAGCAGAAGGGAACACAATCCTCACTGAAGGAAGGTTTCTTTATCCTAAATCTTGAGGACTCTCCCCCAAAGAATATTTCAATAGGAATAAGAAGCCCAGACTCCATCTGGGGTCACTGATTTTTCTCCTCTCCCGTGGTTCTTCCTCTGGTCAACCTTTAGTAATTCCCCTGAGGTTCTGAAGGCCTTCATTCGGCAGGAGGGAGATGACAGCCTCGCACGTGGGCCGGGGGGTGTCACGGGCTCCTGTGGAGCTCATCGGGCAGAGGCTGGAGGCCGGGGGCGGGGTGGGGTGGGGTGGGGGTAGCCCTGGCAGAGGGAGCCGGGCAGTCCGGAGCAGGATGCCTGCCGCACCACAGCTCAGCGTGGAGGGCACGGGATGCAGGGAGGGCTCAGTCAGAGGCGCCACAGGCTCGCGAGCCTGGGGATGTGGGGCGGTCAGGCCCCAGGACAGCAGCAGAGTAAAAGCCAGGAAGCCAAATGGAACTTGGAGTCTGACCATCGCTGCTGCACCTGTCTGAAGAACACAGTTTTATGCAGCATGTCCTAAGCCATACTCAGTGAGATAGTATCGGAGTGGCTCTTAACCTAGCTGCATATCAGAATCCCCTGGGGAGCTGATTTTATTTTTTAAGTAGACTCCACACCCAGCATGGAGCCCAATGTGGGGCTTAAACTCACGACCTTGAGATTAAGACCGGAGCTGAGATCAAGAGTTGGACACTCAACCGCTGGAGCCACCCAGGTACCCCTCCCCTGGGGAGCTTAAAAAAAAAAAAAATCCCAATTGTTTTAGGCAAGAATCATAAACAGATGCCAAAGCCGAGAGTCTGGGACCATGGGATATTTACATAATCTCAGTATCTCCCATAAGAGACTTAATAATTACATAAGGGAAAATGGAACAACCCTGCAGAAACTGGAAAAGACCACCTTCCGACGGGACAGGTCAAGACCGGAGCGGCACCTCTGGCCAGCAAGCTGGAACACTACCGGGCAAGCACCCCAGCTAACCATCCGCTGTCCAGGGTCCGGAACCGTGGCCTTCGTTTTCTCCTCTGGGCACCTGATGTTCTAAGCCCTGAGTCATTCAGGCCCTTGGAAAGCTACACCGTACCTCTGCCTGCACCAGCTGGGCCGGTCAGAAAACTATCTACCCTAGCTGGAACTCTGGGTGACGGAGTCATCCGCTGTC